CAAAAATATAAAGTTTTTCAGACGGTGAAATATAATACTACTTAGGTTATAACTTTAAAAACTATTTTAAAATAGATGGCGCTGCGGATAGATAAATTTTTATGTATAAAACTAGGTTTTGTTAGTTACAACGCTTATAACTCAAGAATGGTTGGACAGATTTTGATGATTTTTTATTTTTGGATTTGTTTCCTCCTGGAATAACAGAATAAATATTAAAATATTAAAAATTATTTCTTAAAAGATGTTAAATTCGAGTTGAAAATTCATATAAACATTGAATCACAATAACAGTAAAATAATTCACTTCCAGATGGCGCTGAAGTGCATTATTTGCATTTCTCATTTTTTAAATAAAATTGATTTAATTTTTGCTAAAAAACGAGTAAAAATAAGTCCCAAGAAGAAATAAAATACCTCCTCACTATTATTGCGCAATTTAGCGTGTCGTGAATCCAGTCTCATTCCCCTTAATAGCGTTTATCCTTTAAGGGAGTTTAACGTTTTCCGAATCGTCGACTTCGAGCACTCCGGCCAAGGTTCGCTAATCTTCAGATGACGATTGCTGCGCATCGCGGCTGTTTGCGACGAGAGGATTACCCGAAACATCCCCGTCAATGACCATGCTGTTTATCTCCATCATCGTTATCGTCAACGTTGATAATTTATTAACATTTTAAGCTCCGACATGTAGATGGCACTATCATCTTCACTTCATCTGACAGTTTACAGTTTATTTAATAAGCGCACTCGTACACGTAATATTTCTTCTCTTGCACAAATGCAAAACTCGACGTGTAATTATTTTCCTATTTTCTCATGCCCGCGCTGCACTCTGCATATTCCTTGAACTAGAAATATTTCTTTCTTGGCTTAAGACCTCGCTTGCCATTAGTGCAAGATGCATTTGTGGAAAAATGTAAAAATAGCATCCTTTATACTTTAACGCCCTCTACGAAATATTATCACAAACAAAAGAAAATTAAATTCCGAGTGTTCTTTAACTGCCGGCTGTAAAACAATCGTTGGTGAGTGGTGCAGATGGTAACACTCGGTGTATTTTAATGTTAAACGCGTTCGCAGGACAAAAATGCATTACAAATGCGGGTAATCATAATAAATAAAAGAAAATTAATGGAAACGTCGGGGCTGCCGCTTAATGCGCGCCCTTTTACTCGTTTTTCCACTACTACCGCCAGAAACCAGCCTCCGAAGAAGAAGAAGAGAGTAGCGGGTTCGGGACCGAGGAACCGAAGCGCTTAATTATATTAATTAACCGGCCGCCGGAAAAGTCAGCATAACAAAAAAGCGCTTTGCTTAGATTAAACAACGACATCTATGTATTAAAAGTTATTTTTGTGGAAGATAACTAACGCCATCTGTGTTTTAATAGTTTTAAAATGTTTCATAGGTGAAAATATAAATGTTGGGTTCTTGTGTGAAGTAAAATGACACTGTCGCAGGTTGTTACTCTCGAACTTCGACCTCGGGACCTATGATAGTCTAGGCAAACGCTCAGGGGTGAAACGACAGGGAACAGAGACCGGGTGCATTATCATGCGTGAGCATAACGTAAACGCGCATAAACGTTAACTTCCATTAAGTCTAATGAGTCTACGCTGGGACAGGCATGCAATATGAGGTCTTGCACACAAGCAAACAAAGATAGCATGACAATTATCTTAAAATCTAAGAAAATAACCATTAAATTTTACTTAAAAAATCATTATTTAATAAAATTTAAAATTTTGTTCTCATTTTTTTATAAATGTTGTTTTTTCTCCATGTTTTACATCAAAAAGAAGTAAAAATACAAAGTTAAACTCAGATGTGGCTAGGTGTAAAAGTTTTTCAATTATTATCACGACTAGAAAGTTTCTCAAAAGCAAATGCAAAGAAAAGCAAAGTAAACGATGAGACTTTCTCGATAATGAGCAGAGAAATGTAAAAAATTACTTCATTGATAAAAATTTAACCTCAATAGTAAAAAAATACGTTTTTCTTCTTCCACTTATAGAACGTCAGTTTTTTCATGGTTTTTAGACACAAAAAGTGGTACTTTATATACGCACAGCCAGGTCGCGAGTAATATCCATTATCTACGGGCATTATCTACGGGACATAGCTTGCGCCTGCGCATTTGCCAACGCAGCAGAACAAGACTGTCTGAAATACTATTATAATTATGATTTTTAAGTTTTTTGACCTTTTTTTATTATTATTACTCAATTTATCAACACATTCTTTTCTATATATTATTCATGATTATGCTGTAATGTTAGTTTTATGACTATGTGGGCTAAATTTTTTGCGCCTGATGACAAACTTTGATGATATTCTACTTCCGGCATTTGCCTCTGTCACACTTTATCCTCTCGTTATTTTCACACATCGCACATGATGAACGCGCATTTCCAAGCACATCGGTCTTAATTTTCCTAAAAAATGACTTTTCCTAAAACTGCACGTCAGCCACCGGCAAGAAAACGCGCGAACGCCGAAATTTGACTTGATAACTTGACGCTTTGTGTAATTGTCGTCATAAATTCATGTCTTCCTTTCGTGAAAATTTCGTCTTCCGGTTTTTGATCATTTAATCTTAATAAAAACCAAAATCCATATAAAAACATCTCACACCGGAAAAAAAACAACAAGTTTAAACCCTCTCAATAAAGCTTTTAGTTAACGTAGTTAGCTGTAGTTTTTATGCGCCAAATTATTGCTTTTTGTTTTAGTTCCACGCTTGATGGTGGAGTTTCCGTATTGTTGGGTGGGTTCGTCGTTGATATGCATACATAATGCGTCTCCGGGTGGCTGACAGCGATCGCTGCGTATCATGATACATTATGAATGTTTTTCCAGCGGAAGGAAAGCGCATTAAATTTTTTGCGAGGCGCTTTTTTGCGCTGGCGCCGCATTGCGAGAGTGAGCGCAGGCTTTTCTTGCCCCGGCTGCGAACCAGATTAGTTTTTACTGGGCACATGTTCATTTTAATACACTTTTTACAGCGTTACACGCGAATGCGAGTGCGTGGTGTCATGGGCCTGGGACGTGAGCATGATGTGAGACAATTTTTGCGCTTTTGCAAAAAAGCAATTTTAGTGTTAAGAGACTTTTACTTTTTGGACTCGGTGTAATGTTGGTTGCGGAAAACTCAGGTCAGCTAAATGATGACAGACACTGAAAATGTTTAAAATTACGTGTTTATTTGATAGTATTTGAATCATAAAGTACAGAAGACAAAGTTTCTACTGTTTTAATTGAGAGATTGATGATTATTTAAATAAAAAGCAACAAAAACTTGGAAAAACTTGCAATATATGTAAAACCTCAATCAGAGATGTCAAACAACAATGACGTCACTTCCCGGATTGTTTTTTTGCGCGAGTTTTAAAATTTCAAATAAAAATGTCATTTTTTCCCAACATAACCAACAATTTCAGCTATAAAATCCTATTTTTTAGAAAAAATAAATATTTCTAAACAATTTAAACCGTTTTTCACACGTATTTTTATATCCATTGCTTAATAACGTTATAAATCAAAAATTCCCAGACAAAACTAAAAATACAAATCCAACACGTGATAAATGCACTGTTAATTAATGAACATGCATCCGCATGTTTTGAGTTAATTTAAATATATTTTTGTTGTGTGTATCGCACGCGTTGTGCACAATCTCCGAAATTGTTTCCATTCGCGCGGTCGCTCCGAATAATTTCGTGCCGTCCACGCCGAAACACATCGCGTCCCGCATTTGCTCACACACGTTCGTGCCCGGTTGGCTCGCGGTCCGCGTCGTGCGCTCTCAAATGTGTCACAATTCGTGGTCTACTCGTGATTTATAAACAAATTCCCATCGTAACGAATATCCTAAATCAACACGAACCACGCAAAGTGTCCCACCCTTCAAAGGATAACGAAATAATGGATTAAATCATCATCAGAACTAAAAATTCAATAAAAACCAAATTTAAACAAATAAAAAATTTGGGTAAGTCAAAGTTAAACTAAAATTTGAATCCCGAATGGAATTGTGTAATTAAAATAGAATAATTAGTATTTTTATGGCGTTATTCAATTATTGTCCGGCGTACGTAATTAAATCGGCGAACGAGAACGGACGGCGCACGTTTGATAACGCACTAACTCGATAAAAAATGCTAAAATCGTAAAAAACGTTATGGAATTAAAGCGATAAAGCATTAAGAGATGTCCCCGGCGCGTCGCGTCCGAGTGTCCCAGTATTCCAGTCGCAATGATTTCATTAGCATTCATTACCATATTTAGCGCACGTCCTACTCCACACACACGCGCATTACATACTCGTACAACTATAGAGTTATAATAGTTGCATCGAGTAAAATTCCATAACAAAAACATGACATGGAAAATAACGCACATGGGATGAAAACGTGAACAAGACACGCCGAGGCGATTGCACTATTTATTTATAAACAAACAGAAAAACAAATGACACAAATAGACCTAGTAATGGCATCTGAATTCGTGCAACGCACAACGCAGTTGAAAACAGAACGATAGATGAAAATAAACGTGAATGAAATTAATTATATGTGAAGAATATTTAGTTAAAACCAACTTTGGTTATATAATCGCCATTTTAGGTATTAGAATGACTCAAAATTGAAAGTTTAGAAACTTTTGCTTGTGTATTTTATACAACTACACCAAACCGGCTTTTATTTTCATTTATATCTTCATTCAATCATTTTTAAGACAAATTTTGCAAATAATTCAATTATACCTCAAAATCACCAGTTGATGATAAGATCTGTTAATTACACTTGATTTGAGTGTGTCTCCAATTCAAATATTGGCAAATATCGAGTTTTACTCTAAGATAAACCGTGAATCACGATCACAATCGTATATTTACACGTCTGCGACGTGAAATACACTCGCAGCGCTGAATGATGTTGACTTTTGTATCTGGTTAACGCTAATATAGTACGATATGCTACGATTGTACAATTATAGTTCACTGGGTTGAGCCGGAGTGTGAGATAAATCTCTCCGCGTTGGTTTCGGGTCAACAGCACAAAAATGAGACGATATTATGAGACGCACTCGGCGAGACATCTTTAATTACGCGCCAACTTGCCAACATTATCTAAATTCTAAAGTACACCCGAAAAAACTGATAAACTGTCACTTTTAAAAGTCAGTTTCAAATTTTTAACTTCACAATCAAAATTTCATGTATTTTCATACGTGAATACTAAATGATCTTTCGACTGTAAGTAAATTTAAATTTTCTTTATTATTTATGATAATTAAGTCCGGCTGTAGCATGATCCTCCTCGCTGCGTATATGGTATTCCGATGCCATCCATCTACACTCCTGATACTTGGCCTGGTCCTCTTCCTGTTTTGATTTATGATCCGGTGATCTGCTCCTCTGACTTTCTTCGCACACACAGTGAGTAGCCAGACGTGCGTCCATTGATGATGCGTTGTGTATCATGATAAAGCGTGGTTTATCTAAACATATTGCTGACAAATCATGATATTCATGAAATTCTCCTGGGCGCCATGCAGCTCTTCTTGTGCGAGCATCGATGGCTGCACGCCGGAATGAAGATTGATGCGAGCGACGCGCAGCGAGTTTACTTACTTACGTTGATATGAACACAGACGAAAAAGAAACTTGCACGAAAGTGGAAGTAATAGTCCGTCGATGCTTGAATAAATCTTTACAATATCAGAAATCCCATCGCACATATTTTGTTTATCATATTTTTGCTAAATTTAACCGCAGTGGGCAAAAAAATGTAGCAAATATTTACGTACTGAGTTAATGGCTGCTATAAAATAGTAATATACGGCCTGGAGTGGAACGTGAAGCTATTATCTAATCAGTTTGGCGATGCACATTACTGCACATTAGTTAAAACGCATTTGCGACCTCGCCTGATAACATAACCTCTAAAAACCACATAAAATATTAAACGATTGATAAAATAGTATGTACATATTAACCAAACGCCATCTGTTGGTATATAGTCTTTATTTAATATAAAATGTTTCATTTTAGAAGCTGAAAAATGTCCAAAGCTAGTTTAACAAACGGAGACGCTTCTAATGTTGCAAAAGATGAGATAATATTACTTGATGGAGGATTTGCATCACAATTAAGCTGCCATGTGAATGATCCCATCGATGGGCATGCCCTGTGGAGTTCACGGTTTTTAGCGACAGATCCAGAAGCTGTTGTGCAAACCCACTTAGATTTTTTAACCGGTAAAGTAGTTAATAGTTAATGTTTTCTTGTTTGATTGAATCTGAAACTTATGATTATGTTTCTCAGCTGGTGCTCAAGTAATTTTAACTAATACATATCAAGCCAGCGTTGGTGGCTTCTCGGAGCATCTGAACCTCTCCGAAGAAGATAGTTTGGCTTTGATAAAGAAAGCGGTTCAATTAGCAAATACAGCTTTAACAAGATATTTAGCTGAGTTTCCAGATCAACGTAAGTCGTATTTATTTCGATTTTAATCGTAGATTTAATAACTTTTCTTTGTTATTGAATAGCTGAAAGAAAACCAGTTATAGCTGGATCTATAGGACCTTACGGAGCGTCTTTACATGATGCTTCAGAGTATAACGGTAGCTACGCAGCCATAACCTCAACGGGGAAGATGCGTGAGTGGCATCTACCACGCATGCGTGCTTTAATCGAAGAAGGTGTAACTCTGCTTGCCCTGGAAACAATACCATGCCGAGCAGAAGCGGAAATGTTGGTGGAACTCATCAAAGAATTCCCACACGTCAAAGCGTGGCTGACATTTACATGCAGAGTATGTATTATATTAAAAAATACTAAAATTAAATTAATTTTTATGGTAATTGTGTAGGAAGATGAGAAAAGTATAGCTTCCGGTGAGCCTTTCCAAGAAACCGCGCGGAAATGCTACGAAATGAATCCCAAGCAACTAATAGCAGTGGGTGTCAATTGTTTAGCACCACGCCTAGTCGAGTGTCTCTTTGAAGGCATCAATGACGACCCAAAGAAGCCGAAAATCCCGCTGATTGTTTACCCGAACAGCGGAGAGAGCTACAATGTGGAACAAGGGTAAATAAATAGATATAGTTGTTAAACATACCGAAATGCTACAGCTAGCGCCATCAGGTGGTGAATAACGTATGCTTAAACTAACAAAACAGCGATTGGCACGTACTTAATCGTACTAAAATCTAATGCTAGAACTTGGGAGCAACCTTTGGGCACCAACTGATTAAAATGTTTGATGTGCAGTGAACATTACAGGTGGATCAATCGGGACAAGTGCGAGCCGGTGGAGACGTACGTGCACAAGTGGCTGGACATGGGCGTGCGCTTCCTGGGCGGTTGCTGTCGCACGTACGCCGCTGACGTGAGTCGCATCCGCAACGAGATAGGTAAATGGGAACGGCTGCATGGCCGTGTACGGTTGACATGATCAACGCAGTTGGGTAAAACATTCAGTTTCGTATTTATTAATGGAAAACGATGAATAAACTTTGTATAACTGTGCTTCAACGTTTGTCAACAATGCTGTTGAAATTATTAGCATACTTACTTATATTAAATTAGTCATTTCTTTTTAAATTATTGTTGTCGTTTCTCTGTTTACGATTATCTCTATGTTTAGGTGTGTTTTTTCGCTTCTGGTTATTATGTAAATTGATTTAGATAGTAAATGCGTAATTTGTTCAGATAGTATTAAAGAAGAAGCGCACTTTTGAGCGGTATGGGCAAATTAATCATCCCATTCGTCGTTCGAATCGCTGGATTCGTCATCATCGTCGTCATCTGGATGGATGACGCGATTGCGTTCGGCGAGTGCACGTGATAATGCCGCTGCCAGATCGTTGACGCCATTGTGCTGCGCATCGGCTGCTGGACTAATCGGTTTTACTTCTCTTTCCTGTAGAGAAAAACAACAATTTAGTATTAAAGTAGAATTATTGCATAAAAAATAAAACTTACATTGCATGGTTTTAGCTGGAAGCCCTTTCTAATTTCGCTTAATAAATCGCCTCGTGCATCCTCCGAACGAGGACGCTCTTGCGGTTCGCTATTTTTGTCCACAGGTCGAAGATTTGCACCACTTCGAATACTCTCCAACAAAGCAGATCTACCATCAGGTTGTGAACCCTCCGCTGCGGCTGCAGGCATCATTGGTGGCATAGGAGGTGGCGGAGATACCGGCGTCATCGCCGGAGGCGGTGGAGGAGGAGCAGGCGCATTCGCAGGTGGTGGCGGTGGCACCGCAGCTTTAGTAACAGTCGGTACCCTAGGTCCTGTTGGTGGTCTTGGAGGTGGCACATTATTACGCACGTTGTTTACATTATTATGATTATTGTGCTCGTGCGTGGCGTGTGTTACAGAAGGAGGCGGAGGCGGCGCTGCTCTCTATATTTAATAACAAACCGAAGATTAAAAACAAGAAACATTTGAAAATAAATGAATTTTACGTTTGGTACTGGCTTGGATCCACTCCTCGGAGGCACTGGTGGTCCAGGTGGTGCAGGGGCAGCACTCGGCGATGGTGGCACCACGGGTAAACTACTCGGCTGACTGGGAATCGCAGGCGGCGCGCGTCTTTCCTTCACCACCTGTTCATCCTTAATAATACGATTCGTATCATGCTTATTGATAAAATCATAAATAAAAGTACGTGTCGCTTTGTCCTGCATCTGATTCTCGGAAATGCCCGCTTTCGAGATTAAATCGTAAAGGGCACTGTCTTTTGTCATGCATTGCATCCCTGTATCTTTATTCCAGCCAATATGCGAGACATGTTTGAAATCCGATGGCTGACCAATGTCTGCTTTGGTAATATTTCGTCGGCGTTTCTGCGCTTGAGAAATTTTCATTGTTGGTTGCATGGTGTTTTCGATGGTATTCGTTGTGTTCGTTGTGGCAACATGATTCTTCTGCGTGGCCTGCGTGCGTAATCTTCGAGTATCTCGCCGGGTTTTTGACTCAATACGACCAACGACGATTTCTTTCATTTGTTGTGCTTCATCTTCATTGGAAAAATTGAATGCTACCATACAACTCTGCACAGAATGAAAAAACAAATTGATTTATTATAATATAACACATTTTCCTTGGCATTCGACTCACATCTCCTTCAAATGTATGCATAAACGATGTTGGCATTTCATAAACCATTTTACTGTAAACCTCCTGCTCCCACACCATCTTCATCTTGATAATGCAGTACATCCTGAAGAAGTAGTTCTTCCTATTATTGTCCTTTACAAAACACAGTACTCCAACTCCTTTCTTCGACCAGACTCTATGATGTGGAGGTGATGTCTCATAGAGTTCAATAACAGATGTTGACAGTGACTGGAATGTATGTAAATTTGTTTATTTTAAACAATGTTGGTTGGATTTATGTGCCCCAGCAACGTGTGTATTTAGTGTAGTTTAGATACACTATTCTTACCTGACAATTATGCCCTAGAAGGCTGAAAACCGTCTGGTTATCTTCGTTTGAGAGCATCGCGCTGCGCTTGCTCTCGGTTGCACTCGACTGTTGCATGGTGTGCGTGCGGTTTTTACAGGAACGAGCGATTAAAATGATACGTAGAGATAACAAGTTATTTACGCAAGCACATTGTGGGAGTAGTATTTACTCGGTTCCATTGAAATATTGGGATAAAAAACCCACTTCAACTGTTCCAAACCTCGCAATTTTGGTAACAGATGATCTATTAGAGGTGCGGACATTAGTCACGCTTCTAAGGGGGGCAGCACCTTCCGGAGGGAGAAATATTAATTAATCTAAAAATATCAATTTATTATTGTTATAGATTGTTAAAGGGCATTTAGTGAATTATTTTCGATCAACAAAATTTTATAGAGAACGGTTTAAATAATTTAACAATTTAACTTGTGTATATAGGGTTGCCTATACTCGTTTTTGTAAATTTTTAAATATTTCCAAATAATTAACTTTGTTTATTTTGAGCACATCCTCAAGGTTTAATACTTAGAACTTAGACTTAGAAATTTGGTTTTAGATCTAGAATAATTTAATATAATCATTTGAAACACCAAATAGTTTGCTTAGAATTAGCATACAGCAGGTCAGTTCGCATGTGACAACTCGCTTTCCTGCTCAGTACATCTTGCGCTGGTGTGTTGTGTGCACGTGTTTTATTTTGTCTGATAATTATAATATTTTCTCGCAATTCCGCACCATTTGTATCAGATTTTGTAATCAATTTCTTAACTAACATCTATGATTAATTGCTTTTAACTCTTTATCATTTTAATGAATAACTTTTGTGATTGGCTCAACGAAAGAGCGACAATATTTGCATTTTTGTGTCGCGAAGAATTTTTGCTGGTTTTAAAGGGTTTACACATAAGCCCGAAATTTTAGGAGTATCATTCTTAGATGAGACTGTAAGTATTTAATTTCTTTATCATTTCATAAATAATTTTTGCGATTTGCTCACAAAGGAATGACAAGAATTGCATACTGGTTTTTTGAAGGACTGATTTTTGTTTGTTTAAGCGGATTTGCCTCGGGGCCCGACATCGTGGGAAAACCATTTCTGTGCCAGATTGTAAATATTGAATATATTTATCATATTTATCAATTTCTCTTGTGATTAACTCACGAAAGATTAACAAAAAAGTGAATTTTTATGTTTCGAAGGACTAATTTTTGTTTGTTTTAGGAGTTATACACCTGAACCCGACATCATAGGAGAACCATTTCTGCATCTGATTGTAACTATTTAATTTCTGTATCATATTTATTTATTTTTGTGATTAACTGACGAAAGAGCAACAAAAATTGCATTTTTATGTTTTAAAGGACTATTTTTTGTTTGTTTTAGGAGTTATGCACCTGAACCCGACATTGTAGAGGAACCATTTCTACATCAGATTGTAAGTATTTAATTTCTTTATCATGCATATTAAAAATTTTTGTGATTAACTCACGAAAACGCAGCATAAATTGCATTTTTGTGTTTTGAAGGATTAATTTTTGCTTGTTTTAGGAGTTTTGCACCTGAACCCGACATTGTAGAGGAACCATTTCTGTATCAGATTGTAAGTATTTAATTTCTTTATTATGTTTATCTAATTTGTTTGTGATTAACTCACGAAAACGCAGCATAAATTGCATTTTTGTGTATTGAAGGACTAATTTTTGCTTGTTTTAGGACTTTCGCACCTGAACCCGACATTGTAGGAGAACCATTTCCACATCAGATTGTAAGTATTTAATTTCTTTTTTATGTTTATCTAATTTGTTTGTGATTAACTCACGAAAACGCAGCATAAATTGCATTTTTGTGTTTCGAAGGACTAATTTTTGCTTGTTTTAGGAGTTTTGCACCTGAACCCGACATTGTAGGGGAACCATTTCTGTATCAGATTGTAAGTATTTAATTTCTTTTTTATGTTTATCTAATTTGTTTGTGATTAACTCACGAAAACGCAGCATAAATTGCATTTTTGTGTTTTGAAGGACTAATTTTTGCTTGTTTTGGACCCGATATTGTAGGGGAACCATTTCTGTATCAGATTGTAAGTATTTAATTTCTTTATCATGCATATTAAAAATTTTTGTGATTAACTCACGAAAACGCAGCATAAATTGCATTTTTGTGTTTTGAAGGATTAATTTTTGCTTGTTTTAGGAGTTTTGCACCTGAACCCGACATTGTAGGGGAACCATTTCTGTAATTTTTGCTTGTTTTAGGAGTTTTGCACCTGAACCCGACATTGTAGGGGAACCATTTCTGTATCAGATTGTAAGTATTTAATTTCTTTTTTATGTTTATCTAATTTGTTTGTGATTAACTCACGAAAACGCAGCATAAATTGCATTTTTGTGTTTCGAAGGACTAATTTTTGCTTGTTTTAGGAGTTTTGCACCTGAACCCGACATTGTAGGGGAACCATTTCTGTATCAGATTGTAAGTATTTAATTTCTTTATTATGTTTATCTAATTTGTTTGTGATTAACTCACGAAAACGCAGCATAAATTGCATTTTTGTGTATTGAAGGACTAATTTTTGCTTGTTTTAGGACTTTCGCACCTGAACCCGACATTGTAGGAGAACCATTTCCACATCAGATTGTAAGTATTTAATTTCTTTTTTATGTTTATCTAATTTGTTTGTGATTAACTCACGAAAACGCAGCATAAATTGCATTTTTGTGTTTCGAAGGACTAATTTTTGCTTGTTTTAGGAGTTTTGCACCTGAACCCGACATTGTAGGGGAACCATTTCTGTATCAGATTGTAAGTATTTAATTTCTTTTTTATGTTTATCTAATTTGTTTGTGATTAACTCACGAAAACGCAGCATAAATTGCATTTTTGTGTTTTGAAGGACTAATTTTTGCTTGTTTTTGGACCCGATATTGTAGGGGAACCATTTCTGTATCAGATTGTAAGTATTTAATTTCTTTATCATGCATATTAAAAATTTTTGTGATTAACTCACGAAAACGCAGCATAAATTGCATTTTTGTGTTTTGAAGGATTAATTTTTGCTTGTTTTAGGAGTTTTGCACCTGAACCCGACATTGTAGGGGAACCATTTCTGTATCAGATTGTAAGTATTTAATTTCTTTTTTATGTTTATCTAATTTGTTTGTGATTAACTCACGAAAACGCAGCATAAATTGCATTTTGTGTTTCGAAGGACTAATTTTTGCTTGTTTTAGGAGTTTTGCACCTGAACCCGACATTGTAGGGGAACCATTTCTGTATCAGATTGTAAGTATTTAATTTCTTTTTTATGTTTATCTAATTTGTTTGTGATTAACTCACGAAAACGCAGCATAAATTGCATTTTTGTGTTTCGAAGGACTAATTTTTGCTTGTTTTAGGAGTTTTGCACCTGAACCCGACATTGTAGGGGAACCATTTCTGTATCAGATTGTAAGTATTTAATTTCTTTTTTATGTTTATCTAATTTGTTTGTGATTAACTCACGAAAACGCAGCATAAATTGCATTTTTGTGTTTCGAAGGACTAATTTTTGCTTGTTTTAGGAGTTTTGCACCTGAACCCGACATTGTAGGGGAACCATTTCTGTATCAGATTGTAAGTATTTAATTTCTTTTTTATGTTTATCTAATTTGTTTGTGATTAACTCACGAAAACGCAGCATAAATTGCATTTTTGTGTTTCGAAGGACTAATTTTTGCTTGTTTTAAGAGTTTTGCACCTGAACCCGACATTGTAGGGGAACCATTTCTGTATCAGATTGTAAGTATTTAATTTCTTTTTTATGTTTATCTAATTTGTTTGTGATTAACTCACGAAAACGCAGCATAAATTGCATTTTTGTGTTTTGAAGGATTAATTTTTGCTTGTTTTAGGAGTTTTGCACCTGAACCCGACATTGTAGGGGAACCATTTCTGTATCAGATTGTAAGTATTTAATTTCTTTTTTATGTTTATCTAATTTGTTTGTGATTAACTCACGAAAACGCAGCATAAATTGCATTTTTGTGTTTCGAAGGACTAATTTTTGCTTGTTTTAGGAGTTTTGCACCTGAACCCGACATTGTAGGGGAACCATTTCTGTATCAGATTGTAAGTATTTAATTTCTTTTTTATGTTTATCTAATTTGTTTGTGATTAACTCACGAAAACGCAGCATAAATTGCATTTTTGTGTTTCGAAGGACTAATTTTAGCTTATTTTAGGAGTTTTGCACCTGAACCCGACATTGTAGGGGAACCATTTCTGTATCAGATTGTAAGTATTTAATTTCTTTATTATGTTTAACAAATTTTTTTGTGATTACCTTACGAAAGAGCCGTAACAATTGTATTTTTGTGTATTGAAGGACTAATTTTTGCTTGTTTTAGGAGTTTCGCACCTGAACCCGACATTGTAGGAGAACCATTTCCACATCAGATTGTAAGTATTTAATTTCTTTATCATACTTATCAAAAATTTTTGTGATTAACTCACGAAAACGCAGCATAAATTGCATTTTTGTGTTTTGAAGGATTAATTTTTGCTTGTTTTAGGAGTTTTGCACCTGAACCCGACATTGTAGGGGAACCATTTCTACATCAGATTGTAAGTATTTAATTTCTTTATTATGTTTATCTAATTTGTTTGTGATTAACTCACGAAAACGCAGCATAAATTGCATTTTTGTGTTTCGAAGGACTAATTTTTGCTTGTTTTAGGAGTTTTGCACCTGAACCCGACATTGTAGGGGAACCATTTCTACATCAGATTGTAAGTATTTAATTTCTTTATCATGCTTATCAAAAATGTTTGTGATTAACTCACGAAAACGCAGCATAAATTGCATTTTTATGTTTCGAAGGATTAATTTTTGCTTGTTTTAGGAGTTTTGCACCTGATCCCGACATTGTAGGGGAACCATTTCTACATCAGATTGTAAGTATTTAATTTCTTTATTATGTTTATCTAATTTGTGTGTGATTAACTCACGAAAACGCAGCATAAATTGCATTTTGTGTTTCGAAGGACTAATTTTGCTTGTTTTAGGAGTTTTGCACCTGATCCCGACATTGTAGGGGAACCATTTCTACATCAGATTGTAAGTATTTAATTTCTTTATCATGCTTATCAAAAATGTTTGTGATTAACTCACGAAAACGCAGCATAAATTGCATTTTTATGTTTCGAAGGATTAATTTTTGCTTGTTTTAGGAGTTTTGCACCTGAACCCGACATTGTAGGGGAACCATTTCTGCATCAGATTGTAAGTATTTAATTTCTTTATTATGTTTATCTAATTTGTGTGTGATTAACTCACGAAAACGCAGCATAAATTGCATTTTTGTGTTTCGAAGGACTAATTTTTGCTTGTTTTAGGAGTTTTGCACCTGATCCCGACATTGTAGGGGAACCATTTCTACATCAGATTGTAAGTATTTAATTTCTTTATCATGCTTATCAAAAATGTTTGTGATTAACTCACGAAAACGCAGCATAAATTGCATTTTTATGTTTCGAAGGATTAATTTTTGCTTGTTTTAGGAGTTTTGCACCTGAACCCGACATTGTAGGGGAACCATTTCTGCATCAGATTGTAAGTATTTAATTTCTTTATTATGTTTATCTAATTTGTGTGTGATTAACTCACGAAAACGCAGCATAAATTGCATTTTTGTGTTTCGAAGGACTAATTTTTGCTTGTTTTAGGAGGTTTGCACCTGAACCCGACATTGCAGGGGAACCATTTCTACATCAGATTGTAAGTATTTAATTTCTTTATTATGTTTATCTAATTTGTGTGTGATTAACTCACGAAAACGCAGCATAAATTGCATTTTTGTGTTTCGAAGGACTAATTTTTGCTTGTTTTAGGAGTTTTGCACCTGAACCCGACATTGTAGGGGAACCATTTCTACATCAGATTGTAAGTATTTAATTTCTTTATTATGTTTATCAAATTTTTTTGTGATTACCTTACGAAAAAGCCGTAAAAATTGCATTTTTGTGTTTTGAAGGACTAATTTTTGCTTGTTTTAGGAGTTTTGCACCTGAACCCGACATTGTAGGGGAACCATTTCTACATCAGATTGTAAGTATTTAATTTCTTTATCATGTTTATCAAAAATTTTTGTGATTAACTCACGAAAACGCAGCATAAATTGCATTTTTGTGTTTCGAAGGACTAATTTTTGCTTGTTTTAGGAGGTTTGCACCTGAACCCGACATTGCAGGGGAACCATTTCTACATCAGATTGTAAGTATTTAATTTCTTTATTATGTTTATCAATTTTTTTTGTGATTACCTTACGAAAAAGCCGTAAAAATTGCATTTTTGTGTTTTGAAGGACTAATTTTTGCTTGTTTTTGGACCCGACATTGTAGGGGAACCATTTCGACATCAGATTGTAAGTATTTAATTTCTTTATTATGTTTATCAATTTTTTTTGTGATTACCCTACGAAAGAGCCGTATAAATTGCATTTTTGTGTTTTGAAGGACTAATTTTTGCTTGTTTTAGGAGTTTTGAACTTGAACCCGTCATCGTAGAGGAACCATTTCTGCGTCAGATTGTAAGAATTTAATTTTTTTATCATGTTAATCAAAATTTTTTGTGATTAACTCACAAAAGAGCAACAAAAGTTGCATTTTTGTGTTTCGAAGGGCTATTTTTTTCTTGTTTTGCACCTGAATCCGACATCGTAGAAAAGCCATTTCTACATCAGATTGTAAGTATTTATTTTCTTTATTATGCTTATCAATTCTTTTTGTGATTAACTTGCGAGAGAGCAACAAATATTGAATTTTTGTGTTTGGAAGCACTGACTTGTTGTTTTAGGGCTTTAGAAAATAAACGAAAGCTGGCAGGCAAGTCATACTAGCATCAAAGTGTAAGTATTGTAATTCTTTATTATATTAATGGCATAGTTTTGTGATTTTCACACGCTAAAGCCAAAAAATGGCACTTTTGTGTTTTGAAGCACTAATTTCTGTTGGTTTTTGTGGTCTTGAAATTGTAGAATTCCTTGCAGGATAGTAATTCTTGCATCAGATTGTAAGTATTTAATTGTTTGTCATTTTCATGAACAACTTCTATATTTAGTTCACAAAAGAGTGATAACAATTGCATTTTCTGTGTTTTGAAACGCTGATTTTGCTTATTTTATAATACCAGTCATTTGGGCTTGTTTTACTGTTATATATAACATGGATCGTTAGTTTGGTATTTTTGAAATAATAAAACGGAGAGGGAAGATATTAAGACCTGATCCTGCTAGCGGTAGAGCGAGACAGATATACTCTGAAATGTCATGTGTAATCAATGTGATCTATATGATCCGGGGAAATTTCAACACTTTGTTTATGTTTTCAGTTCGTAGTGGCTTGCGTAGCACGTTGAAATTGGATATAATTTGCGCACCTACTGTTATTACTGTTGAATTACAGGTTTCTGTTTACTTCTAGTCTAACTTGGCAATGTGCATTCGTGTTGAATGTTGTTTCTTTCCGTTTAGTTGGTTTAGTTGCGCAGTTGTGAGGTGAGCACGTGTTCTCATTCTTCGTCGGTTTTCATCGCAACTGTTAGCGTTTCTCGAGATTTAAAACGGTAGAAGCATTAGAATCGTTTGGTCATCGACTACTGGCTAAGTGATTTTTGGCGAATCAACTCTAGATTTAAGAGACTTTACCTCGTGCGTGTGTGAATGCCATTGGTCGTTGGATCTCATCCGTGAGGCTACGGATTCCAATTGGAATTATTGGTGAAAATGGTTCAATTGTTAATTCGCGGGAATAAATCACATGTTTTCCCCCCTGGTTGCCAGTGCAAAATTAATACATCAATTCTACCAGCAATTCTACTTCGTGCGATTTAAAACTTCATTGATGGAACCACAAAGGAGTATGTAAGGTCAAATAAAAAATTACCTGTGTTCAACTGTTTTTAAATTACAAGTAATTATTTCTACGGGATTTGAAAACCGTCGATGATTTTTTGTTTATAAAATTGTATATATTTTTAAATGTTGTCAATAAAACGCAATGTAATATTATAATCTCATGCATTGTTATTTGTGGCATCCTTAACGTTTTCAGTATTTGCGTCCTAAATCTTATGTGCGTGAAACGTGTACAACACAACGCTTGCTTGTATTGTGTTGTTTTTAAAAATTGAATAAAGTAGAAACATAAATAGAAGAATCAAATAACAATAACAAAAACACTCGGTGGTCGAGTGGGTACGTGCTTCTGCTAGCATGCTAGTAGACACGGATCAAGTCTCAGGTGTAGAAGGCATTTTTCTCAAATATAAAAATATCAGGGGTAATTTGGGTTGCATATATGAATTGCAACGAAATAAATGAGAAATTGAAAAACAAGTGAAGGCAATATGAGAAATAAGAAAGCAAGTGGAGGAGCGGAACAGAGAAATAGAATAAGAAGGAGTAGCAGAGATGAGTAGAAGACAGGAGGAAGAGAACAGAGAGTAGAGAAGAGGAGGAGATAGAAGAAGGAGAACAGGAGTGGATCAGATTTTTAAATTTTTTGGCCCGTGTCGTTAGACAGCCCACTGCTTCGATCCGTCCATTGCTCCCGGCCCATCCTACAGCTACGATGTCTCTCCGCTTCATCCCCGGAATTATCAGGCATATCAACAATTTTTATGGTGGGGGATCACCCCCAGAGAGAGGGAACTCCTTATAAGGACAATCCTTATAAGGTCTTGTTCAAATATTTCTAAGTTTTAAGTCGCCTCAAGAGAGGTGACACTTAAAAATATTCTCACAAGTTCTGACCTGTAGCTGAAATGAAAGAAGGAGCACACAAATCACACAGGATACCTTAACAATTTTTATAGTGGGGATCATCCCCAGAGAGAGGGAACTCTCTTAGAAACCTGTACCTGAAATGATAGTAGGGGTACACAAATCAAAGAAGTCAATATATCTTACTATTTCTTTATTAACAATAGAATACAAGTTTATATTTTACAAGTCAACAGATTACATGTCGCCATATTGAAACAGGACTTACGACCTGCATAGCCGCGCACATGCAAGCAAGTTGCACTTCGCAAAGTACGGCCGGGATAAAGAAATTAGGAAATAGACCATTTTCTACGTGAGTGAAAATGGGAACAAATATACAGGGAATTACAAAAAGAAAATTACTACATCACAAAAAGAAAATCAATAGTACAAAAAAGAAAACAGTCGGGAATACAAATTTAGAAAACTTATAATAGGAAATCAAGAAAAACAAACATAAACATAAAATACAAAGTTTAAGTAGAAAACGACCCAGAAACAACAAATTTAGTCAGTTTTACGCTAGAACGCAAGGTAAAGTAGAACATATGGTGATACAAGAAGAAAATTGCTACATTATACAAATATATTACAAATATTTTACAAATATATTACTCTCAATAATTAATTGCCAAGCTACGAAAATACGTTAAAGACCATGCAGATTTATAAAATAAAAATAAAAATGCGAGCAAGGAAAATTTCACGTTATTAAACCGATGATTGACATGACCATACTCTGCGCGTAGATCCAAGTCGCATCCGACGGAACGCATCAATTTTGTGTTGTTACGGTATTCACGTTAATAACGTTTACAAACTTACCAGTGCATCAGGTAATCATAGAAAGTACTGAAACAAAAAAACAACACGTGTGTGAGATCTCGCACTATGATGCACACTTATTTAAATTTGTTTTGAGGGATAATGAACCTGTACTATTTTAACACACAATTTTCCCTGAATATCCTGCCAAGGACAGTCGTTAATTACACTTACTTAAAATTAAAATAGGATAAATATTTCTAAAACCAATTCTCAACATCGAAATAATCCAATAGCCGACACGCACATGGAAACACCAGTTTTATAATCATTTTACGCGTAAATAATCCTTAGCAAAACAATCTACATGTCTATTGTCATTTGGTGCCGTTAGAAATGCTCATTTTTTTTCAATAATAAAATGTAATGTAATCGGAATGAATTAAAGAATGATGCCGAGCCGCGTGCAGGTAAGAACAGACTGAAGCGGTCGAATGTTCGTAGCATGAGAGGCAACATTGCGCACGTTTATAGCGATATAAAAACTTGTTTATACACAAACCCTGATATGCATGTAGAATGGAAATAGCACATTTTTGAAGTGCACTAAAATAAAATAAAATATAATAATTCATTACATCAGTTGTTAATTTCAGCATTCGGTTCGCGCTTTATACTAACGAAACTACGAGTACTATTGCGTATATGCGTATACAAACAACTATCCTTATAACTCGCGTTACGGAATTTTCTCGCAATAAATTTTGATACAGGGAAATAAAGAATTAAATTCCGCATCTAGGAAAATTATTCCGAACTTAGTTTAAGACCGCATTCGCGTGTTATAATATTAAGAAAGTACAATTCCTAGCGCAACGAGTACTATTGCGTATATGCATATACAAACAACTATCCTTATAACTCGCGTTACGGAATTTTCTCGCAATAAATTTCGATACAGGGAAATAAAGAATTAAATTCCGCATGTAGGAAAATTATTCCGAACTTAGTTTAAGACCGCGTTCACGTGTTATAATATTAAGAAAGTACAATTCCTAGCGCAACGAGTACTATTGCGTATATGCGTATACACACAACTATCCTTATAACTCGCGTTACGGAATTTTCTCGCAATAAATTTTGATACAGGGAAATAAAGAATTAAATTCCGCATCTAGGAAAATTATTCCGAACTTAGTTTAAGACCGCGTTCGCGTGTTAAAATATTAAGAAAGTACAATTCCTAGCGCAACGAGTTCTATTGCGTATATGCGTATACACACAACTATCCTTATAACTCGCGTTACGAAATTTTCTCGCAATAAATTTTGATACAGGGAAATAAAGAATTAAATTCCGCATCTAGGAAAATTATTGTGAGCTCAGTTTAAGACCGCGTTCGCGTGTTATAATAAAAAAACTAGAATTCCTAGCGCAACGAAATTGAAATTTTAATTCAAAAGAAAAATGGGCGAATGAGTCAGCAATACATTCATCGTCATAAGGTGCCCGAACACGAGTCACTTCTACCGCTGCCTTCGTACGGTGCCCTGAACACGAGTCACTTCTACCGCTACCTTCGTATGGTGCCCTGAACACGAGTCACTTCTACCGCTATATTCGTAGGATGCCCTGAACAAGAGTCGCTTCTACCGCTACCTTCGTACGGTGTCCTGAACACGAGTCACTTCTACCGCTACCTTTGTAGGGTGCCCTGAACACGAGTCAAAAATCCGAAACTAATAGACGTCACGCTGAAATTACTACGCTGCTTAGATTGCGTGTAAACCCGAAAAAACACAAACATTTCACGAAAAAGAGTTAAAAAATTACACTTATATGCAAATTCATGCGGGTTGTAGCTCGAATTCCTGCAACAATTAAATACCACCCGACAGAGAATTTAATTCCGCATATCAACACGCCAAGCTGAAGTTATTACGGCGCCTAGATCGTGTGTAAACCCGAAAAAACACAAACATTTCACGAAAAAGGGTTGAAAACTTACTTTTATATGCAAATTTATGCGGGTTGTAGCTCGAATTCCTATAACAAACGAATACAACCCGACGGAGAATTTAATTTCGCATCTTCACTCGCCATGCTGAAGTTACTACATCGCCTAGATCGCGTGCAAACTCGAAAAAACACAAACATTTCACGGAAAAGTTAAAAAACTTCGCTTATATGCAAATTTTCGCGGGTTCCAAGTCGAATTCCTGCAACAATTAAATACCACCCGACGGAGACTTTAATTCCGCATATCCAGATGCTACGCTGAAGATATTACGCCGCCTATATCGCGTGCAAACTCGAAAAAACACAAACATTTCACGATAAAGGGTTGAAAACATACCCTTATATACAAATTTTAGAGATTTGCAGGTCGAATTACTACAACAATTAAATACCACCCGAAGGAGAATTTAATTCCGCATCTCTTGACGCCACGCTGCAGTGAGCACGCCGCCTAGATCGCGTGCAAACCCGAAAAAAACCAAACATATCACGGAAAAGGGTTGAAAACTTACTTTTATATGCAAATTTTCACGGGTTGCAGGTTGAATTCATGCAACAATTAAATACCGCCCGACGGAGAATTTAATTTCGCATATATAAACGCCACGCTCAAATTTTTACGCCATCTAGATCGCGCGCAAACCAGAAAAAACACAAACATTTCACGAAAAAGGGTTGAAAAGTTACACTTATATGCAAATTTTTGCGGGTTGTAGCTCGAATTCCCATAACAAACGAATACAACCCTACGCAGACTTTAATTCTGCATATCGAAACGCTACGCAGAAGTTATTACGGCGCCTAGATCGTGTATAAACCCAAAAAAACACAAACATTTCATGAAAAAGGGTTGAAAATTTACTTTTATATGCAAATTTTCACGGGTTGCAGGTCGAATTCCTGCAATAATTAAATACCACTCGACGGAGAAATTAATTCCGCATATCTACATGCCACACTGAAGTTTGTACGCCGCCTAGATCGCATGCAAACTCAAAAACACAAACATTTCCCGAAAAGGGTTGAAAACTTACCCTTATATGCAAATTTTTGAGGGTTGCAGGTCGAATTCCTATTCCTGCATCAAATAAATACCACCCGACGGACCCGCAGATCACGCGGTGATACAACTGCCGTGTGTGCTGCTCGTAGCCAGATACAAGGCAGGTACGTTGCGAGAATACGCGTCAGTCGAACAAAAAATTGTTTATATACGAGTACAAACGTACTCGAGAAGACAAACGTTGTTGAGAAGCCGAAACTAAAAATTCACAATATTGCAATAACACACAAACACGAAATGATCAAATGGTTGATACTTGTTGTCCACCATTTTCGACAGTGAATATCTTCTAAACGAAAAGAAATAGCAACTAGGAAATTATAGATTATGGAAGATGAGAAAATTCTCTGCATGATAAAAATTTAAAATAATATATTTTAATGAGGTAATAAGTTTAAAAACGTGACTGTGTTAAAAATGGAAATTTTTCAATTTATGACGATTTATTTCAATTGCGAATATCTTGTAAACTAAAAGAGATAATTAGGATCGGATCGCAGCGTCGTAATCTACGAACTAGTCTCTATAAGATAAGATAATTAAAACGGAAATCTGAGAGATGAAATTTTAATGCTTGATAATTTTTATCGACGATTTCAATAATTAATATCTCTTAAACTAAAAGAGATAGCCACCAACGAATTGCTGATTATAAAAGATTGGAAATTTCTCTATCAGATGAAAATATAAAATAATTATATTTCCTACAGTAAAAGGTCAAAAAACGCCACTAAAAGTACTAAAAACTGACATTTTTCAATTTTTGCCCATTTTATTTAATCGCAAATATCTCGTAAACTAAAAGAGATAATTAAGATCGGATCGCAGCGTCTTAATCTACGAACTATTCTCTATAAGATAAGATAGTTAAAACAGAAATCTGAGAGATAAAATTTTAATTCTCAATAAAAAATTTTAATATAAATATTTCACCCCAATAGTGCAAACCGTTCCCGAAATATGACCCAATTTCCACGATGGAACATGAAAATTTTTAAAAAACCGCCTAATTTTGGAAGCGATTTTGAAGTTTTTCCTACTTTATTAATGTGGGCGGCAATAATTTGCCGTAGGGAAGCACTCTTCTTCTATAAGAACATAAATAATTCACCCCAATAGTACAAACCGTTCTCAAGAGATAACCCAATTTCCAAGACAAAACATGATAAATATAAAAAAAATTTGATGGCAATTTTGAAGCTATGCCCGCTTGATTTTTGGTGATCGCAATGACGTACCGTAGGAAAGCACTCTTCTTCTATGGGAATATAAAAAAATCACCCCAATAGTAGAAACCGTTCCCGAGATATTACCCAATTTTCACGATAAAACATAAAAAATATTTTTTTAAAGTTTGAAGGCATGTTTTGAGACTATTTCCGCTTAAGGTAAAGCAAATACAATAAATAGCTGTTTGGGTTATTTTTAAATATCAAAATTGTTTCATTAAAATCATGCTTTTGATTCATAAATATTTACGTAAAATATAATTGATAAATAAACTTACTGGCATAGCTTGGATGAGACCCCGCAAGAAGGCATGACCTACAATAAAGAAAAAACAAGAGTCAGTATACTATGTAAGATTAACACGTCGAGAAACCAAAAATTTGTAAAACTGCCACTACAATGTTCAGATAAATGTTTCTTACCCAAGCACAAACAAATTTCTTAGCCATGAACGCAATCCAATATCGGCACACACTAATAGATGTTAAGACCGCAGCCGTATGCGTGAAAAGTACACTGTATAAACGCAATGAAAAACCACACAAGGCACCGTACACGTAATTACAACTAAATTTGCTCGTTTGTGAATAGAATATATCGCGGTTTTGTAGTATTAAATACTGAAAAATCATACGAGCACGGAGACACGTCTAAACGGCAACCGGCACGAAACTAACTAAATGCACCGACAAAACAAACCTGTCGAGCATGCACGCAACGCGGCGGCTTATGATAAGATAAAGTAAGATGTTCCTATTGGCGCGCGTCGATGGCGCGCGACTTCTTTCTTGTCCTATGTAGTAGAGCCGGCAACGTGCGTTGAAATAAGGAGGCAACATCGAACCACAGCAATTGTGGACGTTGCAATTCATTTATCAAATGAATAATAATCCTTACTAATATTATAAATGCGTATGTCCTGAAGTTTATCGTGCTTTCACGCAAAAACTACTTAACAGATCATCATAAAAATTTGTACACATATTCTTAGTGGTCCCCGATAGGTTATAGGCTACTTTTTATTTAATAATAATAATTATTTTTTGAAATAAAATAAAGAAATTGTTTAGTCACTAATACCTATGCATCTGGTTATTTGACTACTTTAACGCCATCTAGCATTCCAGCAATGAAGCTCACACCTAAGTACTATAGTACCATCACACTGTATTACCGACACCTACGTCAACATCAAATCCGTACACTAGGGTGGTCCTTAAAATGCATTTTTTTGAATTTCTTTGCTCCCAGGGGCTTAAACGCTTTCAAATTGATAAAAAAAAAATTCCTGAAAATTTGAGCTCTTAATATTAACTTTAAGATAGTCCGCACTCTCAGATAAGGTTTTTATGGGGATTACTTGGCAGAAAATGGATTTTAAGTAACAAATCGCGACATATTTATTGTAAATTTAATTTTCCATGTAAAAAATACCTCATACATATTTACTGCACCTATTGACTATTCGAATACTAAGCCTTAATCTTTTTTCATATTATCCACTATTGCAGATTTTCGAGTATCACCATAATATTGCTTATATTCTGATAAAAATTGAACAATAAACTCCTATTTGCTATTATTTGCTATATATTCTAAATAGTATCAAGTCAATAGGTGCAGTAAATATGTATGAGGTATTTTTTACATGGAAAATTAAATTTACAATAAATATGTCGCGATTTGTTACTTAATATCCATTTTCGGCCAAGTAATCCCCATAAAAACCTTATCTGAGAGTGCGGACTATCTTAAAGTTAATATTAAGAGCTCAAATTTTCAGGAATTTTTTTTTTATCAATTTGAAAGCGTTTAAGCCCCTGGGAGCAAAGAAATTCAAAAAAATGCATTTTAAGGACCACCCTACCGTACACATATTCTTAGTGGTCCCCGATGGTCCCCGAATGGTTATAGGCTACTTTTTTATTTAATAAAAAAAAATATTTTTTAAATAAATAAAGAAATTGTTTAGCCAATAATACCACTGCATCTGGCTAATTGACTACTTTAACGCCATCTAGCATCCCATCTAAAATTTAAAACTTTATTGCATGTTGTAATTTTTTCACATAGATAATCCTAGCCAAGCAGTGGCATACATTCTTTCATTCATACATTCTTTCTATCAATCCGTTTCAACTATGTATATTTCTAATATTTATTTGATGGATTCAACGCGAGCGAAGCCGCGGGTTAAAGCTAGTCTGGTTATAAAATTTGAATTGTAGATATTTTAATGAGAATATCCTTTCATTTTAATGTAATTAATTAATTAATAATTTTCTTTATGGTTAATTTTTGATTTTGATTTTATTTCTTTCTCAAATAAAGGATTTCCCGAAGTTAAATAGTCTACATTCCGTTAAGCTAGGCACCTAGTCGTACAGGTAATTCAGAGTGATTTCAACATCAATTTTTGAAATGCGAAAATATTATAATTTTAGCTTATTTGAGAAGTATTTTATATTTTAAATAAATAAACAACAATCTTTTATCTATTTCTTTATTTTTCGATACAAAAGTTGTATTTCTTTGGATGTTAATCAGTATTTATTGTCCTTACAACGTTATTTAATATTATATTCCCAGTTTTTGTTTTTGTAGTTAAACTAAAAACACAACGTGCTTGTACGGTTTCCGAACTAGTGTCTATAATAATTTGTATTAAAATTTATGTTCCTTGCTTTGTAAAATCCATGATATTATCAAAATTATAAACAATAATTCGTGAAATCGTCACTAAAAACAAAATGGCACCCTATTCATCTAAAGTTAATTACGTTAACACAACCTAACAACTAAATTAACAAGCATTCTACAACAATTCACCCATAAATTAACCTCACAACAAAATAGGGAAAAGTGTAACATAAATTAATAATTTAATCGAAAGAACTACTCGCATTCAACACAAAAAAAGTAAATCATTCATACAAACATTCAAACTCTATAATCTACTTTAATCTAATTCGTTCGTTTTCGTTTCGTCCATTTATCGATCGATCAATCATTTCCTCTTCTTGTAAGGTCTTGGATCATAAGGCGTCGCGTTGAATCCCACATAACGATTGTTTTTTCTGTGTTGGAATCCATCTGCCCCAGCATTATAATAAACAACACGACGAATTCCAAATGGATCTATATATCCAAAACTTCCTGATTTTGAATACCCTGTATCTTGTTCCTCATGGTAGGCACGTGGGATATAGTAACGGAAACCATCGTTAGTTACAGAAACACCATTATACTGAGGGTATTGCGGATCGTAACCATTTCCTATGTAACCATTTGTTGGTGCAGGTTGTCTATTTTGTGGACGTGCCCTTCCAAAATATGAATTACCATGTCTATCAATTGGATATGTAGGACCATTATGATGAATGTACGGATTCTCATTCGAATCGTAAAAATCATCCAAGGCATTCGAATTGATCTGAGGTGTAAGCGTTGGGGAATCATATATATTCAATGGATGTGGTGTTGAGGAAAGACTACCATAGTTAGGACCAATAGGACCTAAAGGTGAAGGAGTCGTACTTAGAAATAGACCATTATACGCAGGTCTATGAGTTGTAATAAACACTGGAGATGGCGAGGGTATAGGTGTGGATGATATAGACGTAATAAACGGAGAAGGTGTGGAAGATACACTTGGTAAGTAATGAGCAGTTGGGTAAGGAACTTTCGGGGAGATAACAACTGTTCCAGGTGTGGGCGTTGGTGATACAAACGCAGTTGAAGATGGAAGTGAGGAAACAGTTGTAGACTGGAACGGTGATGGGGTTGAGGTAACAGGAGGAGGTAAGATAGTACTACTCACAGGAGAAGGTGTAGTAGAGTAACCATTGAATACACCTGGGTAGGAATTGTGGGATATGTCTACTCGGGGATTATATGTGGTACTAAGAAAACTAGGAGTTGATGTAATAGGACTGGGTGTTGTTGAAGAAACTGGTGGAAGGTAGACACTTGGATTACCCACTGGGGCAACTGGTATGCTTGATCCAACAACCCCAGGAATTTTCTTAGCTGCTTTAATTGCTTGGGAAATTGGTCGGTTCCTTCCAACATAGATGTCTTTTGTTCTTAGAATTCTGTATCCCGCATTGTCTGCGATGTAATCTTGAAGTCGTAGTAATCCAGTAGAATCTATCCATCCATAGGATCCCACAACTGTACCATCTTCAAGGCGTTTTTCTTTACGATATTGTCCGCTTTGGGTTTGGTACCGGAAGTATCGTTCTGGACCTTCGTCTGTTTGAATGTGGAATTGATCTTGTGTCGGGTCTGAGTACGTTCCGGGTGATGGTATTGCTGGTGTAGCATTGTGTTCCGGCAGTAAGAGTGTTACAACCACCTAAAAACAATAAGAAATATTTTAATATATTCCATGCATATTGGGTTGCCTATTTATAATCTACTTGTTATTCGTGTTACTGATTTACAACTTAAAATTCAGCCTGGCAATGAAAAACCACAAACAATTGACTATTGTTTAGTCTTTATTGCTTCATTTCGTCCACCAAATGTGGCTTCCTCTCTTCGACTTGATTGTGTTTTTGCAAAAATTACGTGGGCATTTTGCGTAATTGTAATTGTGTTACTTTTCGTGACTGTTACATGATTGATGATGAACTAGGAAGTTACGTGTTTGACATTGCAATTTATACCAATCCATAACAAGAATGCGAACAACTGAAGAAAACAAGAATTATTTATAAGGTAAACCAGCAAGGACGTTTAATTCGATTTAATTCTTTTGTTTGGATGTATCGTTTTGGTGTTTTTGGGCGAATGCATCATGGAAATGAATAACAATTGGGAAATTAGTCATCAATTTGCATGAAACCACACGCGTGTGTCAAGTGTGCGTAAACAATGTTTAACTTGTCACGCATACGGTAATTGCGATGATGTGTAAATGTGCAATGTTTTATTTTTAGCTTAAATTTAACTAGAAGTAGTTTTCTTGTCAGAATTCCATAAGATTTAAATTTTTAAAATTTTTTAGACTTCACACTTCATTAAAATGTCGTTAATATTAACTTTAATTAACATTACGACAGTAAACTGCGTTCCGCAATCGAATTTGGCAATTTTGTGTGGGTTAAATTGCGAAGGCAATAAACAGCAATGGGTGCAAATAAAAGCACAGTTTTTATATGTTGTCTGACAAATTTGGTTGTGATTGGAGTGATTAAGCGAGTCAGTGGGCGATTAGCTAACTGTGATTGCCACCCAAGACTCTACACAGTTGTTAAATGCCGAAAAAACAAAGAGGAATCAATGAACTTGCAAAATATTTGTTTTGCAACTTCAAACCAATTATTCGATTTAAACAATTGCTTGTACGTTGATTTCATTGCATAATGTTTGAAATTTAACATATTTTATGATATGCAACCAAATATACATATTATGTGAGTATATTGATAAAATATAGATGCGAAACTAACCTCAACTTAACTTAAATACAAATTTCAATTACAACTTTTGAATTTATCTAAATTACGAAGGTGTAATTTGTCTAATTTTCGTAAATACATGTCTAAAAATGGTAAACCCGGAAAATTTCCAATAATTTACGTACTAATCATGATATTACATAATGTTTTATGTAAAATAACGACCACGTCTTATACTCAATTTATTTTTATAATTTTTATAACTATAAAAGGTCAAAATATTATTAAAACTTCCAGTAGTCATCAAGTCTGTCGTGATTTTCGGTTTTATACTCAATTTTATGCAAATGCAGCAATGAATGTCATTGATGACTCACCGATAGAAAGTAAACGTTTCAAAATACATATTTCGAATATTTACCAGCAAAAGTTCAGCCATTAAATAATTTTGCGTTGCTTAAACTTCAACTTCAACCCGACACGACGTTAATTGTATACATTTCGCAGTATGCATGAATAAATGTATTCATTTCTAGTTCAAAGTCATCACGTTTAAGTACAAGTAATGACATTTACTTGGATTAATTTAAAAATGACAATTAACACATCAAAGTGTTAATAAATTGTGATTTTCAAAGACTTTAAACAAAATGCAATTAATTTCAACTTAGATTTTACTTAACTGCTTGTTATTATTAATGTGATATCAAACATTTTGTTTAGCATTGAAAATTACATAATTATTTAACAATGTTAACACTTTAAGCATTAAAGCATCAACATGTTCGGAGGATTTTGACCTCAATATGAATTAAGCAGTGTGTCTGCCTCGATCAGATGCTTTGTTGTTTTGTCGTGTTTGGCGTGAACAACTAATAGCGATTTAATTGTTGTAGGTTGTCGCCTGACGTGACGCCTCGTTGTTTAGCTCGATCGCGCATTTCAATGTCAAGTCGCTGGTAATGCTCGCGGAATTTTACGCCTTCGGATCATTTTAATAAAATCTAATGCAGAAATAAGAATAAAAATATTCCACAGGTGCTTTTTAATGTGTTTTAGCGCCATCTAACTTAAAATTATTCAATTGTAACTATTACTGAATTTTTATTGCCAATTTAACACTCTTTAAATTATATTTTTGCTATAAAATTCAGTCAATCTTCTATTTTAATGAATAAACTATAATCTTGTGAAGTTTTATCAAAATCGGTTTAGTAGTTTTTGCGTGAAAGAGAAACAAACATACAAATACACAAATTTGACAAATTTAGTCATTAATTCAATATCTCAGTTTGCAAAACAACAATTTTTCCTTATATTTCTTTATCTAAACATATTTAAACTTTATTTTATTTTTTATGCTTTATTCCTAAATGGTAAATAAAAGAAAGGGCATTTGAAAGGTGTGGTTGTTTCATGCACAGATGTAAATTTGTTTCACGAGAGTGTGAAAACGATAATGGCATGTTACTCTCGTTCTCGTACCCACTATATCAAGTTCTTGCGATGTGGCGAGATTTCTAACTTTAACTATAACTTTAACTCGCCACGTCCGAAATGCAATCTAAATCGAAATGGCTTACAATTAATAATAATGAACTAAGAAATACTGACCAACGCCCAGCATCACCAGATGCTCTCGTATTTCTCTTTTGTTTAAGAATTAAAGTCTTAAATAATCATTTGTTTTCGTTGTTGAACTCGAAAATGTGGGCGAATTGTTCAAATCGAGATTTAACGAGTTTTTATCATAAGAAATGTAAAATGTAACAAAATCCGGGTGGTATTATCCTCTCACAAATCTGATTTCATCATAAATAAAAAAGAATCAATTTATAGTTTTATATTACAACATTCAAACCGACAAAAAAGTAAAAGTAAAGCAATAAATTGAAATAAACACAAAGTCAAATATACCTTTATGAGGCTTGTTAAAGAGTTGAGACGGATATACAAGTGCACGAAGCACAAAAAAATGTGTTACAAACTGCTGAGAAGTTGCAATTTTTCAAAAAGGTAGGTCACTTTAGCTCGTAAACACTAAAGATCATGACCGAATCGATTAAAAGTTGAAACATGCAGACATTGTTGTTTTTGCTGCATAGTAAAGTGTAACTATCTAATGTTAGGAAATTGTTACACAGTTGTGAACTGAGAAACGCCCAATACTACAAATTTTTATAACCTATATTTAAATCTTTAAGTAAAATACACCAATAAATCACGAAAATGTAATTTAGAGCAAGTTAAATTATTCAGTAGCCTAGAAATGGAACAAAATGTCAAAAAGATTGTAGTTTTGAAGGTTAAGTCAATGTCGTAACATATATAATCATATATTATATAGATCATAGATGTAGATAAAATAAATATTATTTTCATGAATGCAATTTAATAATTTAAAACAAAAAAATCGGTTTAAGTAAATAATTATAGTTTTTTTGCGACTATTAGAGAAGATATTGACTTTGCGGTCAAAAGATAAAGTACCTACACAACCTAAACATAACCTCTTTTCTCTAAAAAAAAATATAGATAGATCATATAAATCAAATTGATAACTAATATAGTATTGCCATACTTCAAAATCATAAGTAGGTATGTATATAAATGATGAAATAATGAAATTGTAAAAACGAAGGTGTTAATTTATGCTAAACTGTGTTAAACGAAGATTTCACGTCTGCTTGGGCAATCCATGCGGCGTGACGATGATAGTTTTGTCGGTTTCATTTCCGTTGGGATTTTTTGCTAAGCATAAGTCTTTTCTTCACTCGGAACGAAAGTAAAATCGCGCCCAGCACTCGGATTGCTATAATGATATATTATTTCTATGTTCACACGTCTGATAAATTATTATCTTGTTGAATATTTTGTTTTCTCTCAAAATATAATTTGGTACAATATTTTTTTTGGTACAGTTTATCAAAATTATGTCTCAAGCAACACTTGGTAAATTATTATTTATTGATTAAAATTTAAGTCAATAGTAATTTAATTCAATTTGGACTTCCGCAAATGTTGTGAAACTGTTAACAAGTCTAATTAATTAATTAATTAACTAATGAGAGTTGTCGATTCTCTTCATACTCAATTAATAATATTTTCACTTTTTAAATTTTAAATAGCAGTTTCCTCATCATTCTTTCTCATCCTAAATAATAATTTTAAATATTTTAATGAAATTTGAGTTTTTTACTCAACGATGACGTCACATGCAATATCAAGAGTTTAGTCATGAATACAAAAATTACAAAATAAATTTTCGCCTTATTTTTGCCAAGTTGCAAGTTATTTATTATAATAATCCTTCATTTACCGCACTAAGTTTACTTTTTGCAATATTATTTTTAAACTGTTGACAAACATGGATATGAACTAATTAGTTGCATCTACGCCTGTTGTTTACGTGCACATTCCGTAAAAGAGCAAAATTGGCTGGAGTCGTTATGACATAAATGACATTATGTCATTTGCATATGTGCATACTTGTATGAATACAAAAAAATAAGCAGATATAAAAGGCAAGATAAGTACCTATGACATAACTGCTTCCTACGCGAATTTTTTGGTTCTTAACTTTAAGAAATTAAAAGTAAAACTTAAATATAAAGATCTTTCGCGAAGCAAAAAGGAGAAAGAACATAAATAATTATAGGTGAGTAATAAATATACGCTTATAAAGGTGCAAACTCATATAAAAACGTAAGAGTGTTATAAATTCGAATAAAGAAAAAAAAAAGCACATAAAAGTTATGCTCCAAAAACGAAGGATTTGAATGTTGGACTATTAATTTATGTAATGTGCAATAAACATTAATATATTAAAATAAACCACTTTTTAAATGATAATAAATGAGTGTTGGGTAGAATAAATCATAAAAAGGCAAAATCAAAAACTATAAAACTTTATTTTACTAAATTTTAATAAATTCTCTGTGTTTGTATGTTT